CTTTTTAGTTCAGTATTTTTATCAATCTGACATACTCGTATTTTTTTATTATTTTGACGTTATGAGAAATTGTTGGCAATATATAATAAATAGTTTTTCTGAGAGAAAAATTTTTAATATTAAATATCATAATTTTTACATACATTATTCTACAATTAATGTAAAAATCGGCGAAACATCAAGGTAACATTTTTTGCAGTAAAATTTCATTTTTGTATGGACCATTAAACAATTGTTACTTTAATTTGATTTATATTATCAATCATACACGCTTTGCTACACCAACGAATTTAATTAATTGATATGGACTGTACGAAGATGTAACTTCCTGTCGATTTCGACACGGCTATAACTTTCACGTTCTATTTATCGCCGAACGATGCTTCGGCTGCAATCTCGTAACGTTCCTTACTTGCGATACAGTTTGTTCTGATGATTACACGATACCCGATTGGCTCATCATCGCGGAACGGGTTCGTCGTTGTCGTCCTTTCGAACGCGAGGCTCGAATAAGATTTTGCAAAATCGCCCTTCCGAAATAACACGATGTCGCGTAATTGTCCTGTAATTGCCGGATAATTGCCGGACAACGGAATCGACAGTCAAATTACCCGGAATCTCACCCCGGGTTACCCAACCCCGCCCTCTCGGCCCGATTCCCACGGGCGATCGTTTACGATGGGAATAGCTTGTTTAAACTAACCGAAATTTCACCAACTTACCGTCCACCCATCGCCACGTTCGAGCGGTGACCTGCGGTTCCCTTTGAGCCCCGATCCAGACCAATTGAGTTTTTAGCTTGTCTTTCCGTCTTTCTAGGTTGTTCAGGATAAATATAGACGATACGCCCTGTGACATAAATATGTTTTATTGAACATGTTATACTATATGAGAACTTTAGTCTTCTTTTAGTTTTTATATTGATTTTATTTATTATTTATTTTAAATTAATAATAATTTATATTACTTTTAATGTACAAAGTATTTTAGAGATCGCCTCTATTTTTTCTTATCTATCTGTAGATTGTTTGACAAATATGTTATAAAATTACATTAAGAATTATAAGATTAATATATAAAAGATTAAATTACAAGAAAATTAGAAATGTAAAAATAAATTATAATAACCTGGAAACCGTGAACAAGATCTCCTCCGCGAGTTTTGCAGTAGTTCCTCGCTTCTTGAAAGGAACCGCCCTTTTTCACTATAAATTCGTAGCACGTTGAATTGAAGGCAGTCAAATCGACATCGGCGGGCGTACCAGCGTGTGCGCACCTGTCTATCGAGAACTCTGCGAACATTTATAAAATTTTTATAGGAAATCATTTTTAAACACGCAATTTTTTCATAATAATACTTTCAAAAGCATATTTATTTAACGTGTAAATTAGAGTTACTTGTGAAAAAAATGGGTTTTAATGTTTTATGAAAATTTTCAACTTACCATCCGTGGCAAAGACTTCCACCTCGCAAAGGCTTAAACTACCCTCGACACCAACAAGTTGCAAAAAGACGTATTGACCTACCAAAGCTCTAGCACAGATGAAAGTCTTCGTGATACCCTCCTCTGTGAATTTGATTGATCGCAGGTCTTAATTAACTTGCTTCAGTTTTCAAGAAACATTCAAAACTAGCATTTTTTATATATAATATCGTAAAAAAATTTAATAAATAATAAATGTTTTTTTCTAAGATTTAGTATTTTTACGATATTTAGAATAGAATATTAAAATCAATGGAATATTAAAAGAAGTTGAAAATACTAGTTCTGCATATTTTTGTATATTTAACGGTTTATAACTGTTCCAAAGTACTTACCAATAGTGCCGGGAAACCAGGCGCATAGAGGATTGCGTTGTAATTCAGCGCTGCTGTTGCCTACTCTTATCTCAATATCCTGAAGAGGCTGATGACCTGCCGTGCAATCGATAAGTCATTCCTCCGCCCAGCAATGCTTATAGTCAGGTTTCAAAATGAACGAACAAACGCACGATAGAAAAGTTTCTTTTTATCTCATGCGATAGATAAATATCTTTTTTAAAATAAAAATTTATCTTCAAGTCGAATAATCTTATCTTACACATCACAATACGGGATAATATTACAAAAATGTTTATGTTTAATTTTGGGCTCTCTTCAGTTTGACGAAATATAACTGACAAATATATTTCTGACGTTAGAGAAAATTTATATAAGAAGAAAAGAAAAATATTCTTGGAAGAATAATTAAGATGTGTTTAAATACAAATATTTATCTTTTAATAATGAGAATATTAGTTTAGAGATATTTGTTTAGAATTACGAAACGACTTGAAAAATAAGGTGATTGTCGCGAATCATAATTTGAGATACGTATATAATAACGCGGAAGTTTACCGCAACAGCCTCGCGTTGTCACCCGGACAACCTTGACAGAATATGGCTTGAGGAGGTCGACCCTCCACCAAGGACTCGGTTCGCTCTGTGTTTCCGTGCATCTTTTCCCATCGTGTTCGGAACTGAAGTCACCATCATTACCGTGATTTGCGTTTCCGCCCCTCACGGTTGTCGATTGATTCGCCGGTTTTCGGAAACTAACATTTGTACCTGTCACAATGTTTGTTTTGTTGTAGTTTCGTCAAAAAGATGATGATAAAGTTGATGATTATGATTATTTTTTTTCGGAAATTTCAAATCTTAATGATCTATATTTATGATTTCTTAATATAATTTCAAGTATTTCTTTAACTTGATACTTAGCATTTAGCGCTTTTTAATCGTAATTTATCCGGTCAGTTAATCGCGTAAGTGTCGGTGATTAATAATTGAGTGTTCGTTAAAGGCAGGATGCGTTTGACAATAACAGTAATTATCGCTGACGATTAGTTGTCGTCCGTCATCGGTTCGTCGCCATCGCTGTTCTGCATTGATGCGCGTATATTTTCTTCAGTACATCTTCCGTCTTCGAGAACGATTCTCGTAACAAGTCGTACTGCCGTTACTCCACGGAAATGGCGCGGATCGTTCCGCTACCGTCGAACAATGACAATTTTATTTTCTTGTGGTTAGGCTTCTTACCGTAGGGAAAGTCACGAAAACCGGAATGAAGGCGTTTTTATCGTAATCGCGCAATAACGTGTAATTTATAAAAATCAATTGTCGCGAATCGAATAACGTTAAATAATGTGGCGAGATCTGCGATTGAAATTTCACGCGTCGCGCGCTTTCCAGAGGGTGTCCCAGAACTGTCATCTCTTTCTTCATCTAGAAATCTTTCGAGCAATTGGTTTGCAATTCTTACGCTGAAAATCATTTTATTTCTTGAAAGATTAAATATTTCTTCAACTGAATTATTTAATTTAAAATCCTGTTACAATAATTTTTATCTACTTTCAAATCTGAATTTTTCATATTTTTTAATTTTTAATTGCGTGTAGTATAAAAACTATTGTTAAAATTTGTTCTCCATCCTACGGTTGAAATTTATAATGATTCTGGAACACCCAGTATAACGTAACGAGGGAAAGTGGCTTGATTGGCATTTTGAGGCAGGCAGTGTCCTCTTCGAAAATGCGATTCTCGTTCAATGACCTCTCTCGCATTCGTGTCTTCCAGTCATATCACGAAAACGAACTGGCAGGTTTCATTCAACAGAGAAAGTCGATGGCCATCGTCTGATCGAGACTGATAGAAAAGGAGTGCGAATACGCCGAACGAATTATTAATAAAAACGCGTAATTAAAATGCGGTTACACGGCCATTAAAAAATTCTCAATCTCAATTGAAGAAATTTGTAATAGCAACTACAAAATACTGACAGATATAATTAATGCAGTACTCAAATATCGCTACTGGTTTCGTGAAGAATTGCTAAAGAGTGAATACTCACCGCAGAACGGTAGGTCACCCTGCCATTTTCCACGGGCGTTGCACGTCAGGCTGCCGGTCCTGAAAGAAAGTAACAGTTAGCTGGCGTACCGAATGTATAATATCGGAAATACAACGGCCGCGGATGTCACTCTCTTGTTGCGCAATTGATAACAGGTGTATCGGCTCCGTTATGCGTATTATGGAAAACCTTTGCCGGATCGTTGGAGCGAAAAATGTCTCTTGTAACTTTCTGCATATAATGGATTCGATTATGCTACGTGAGAGGCAAAAGGAGATGCAAGGGCACATGTATCGGTAGAAACACTTGCGTTTTTCTAGACTTTCAGAAAAGAAGATAAAGTAGGTTTAATTAAAAAGACTTAGTTAATAAAACATGAAATTTTTATGCAAGTTTTATGCTTTCATAATTAAAATAATTATGAAAGAGCCGTAGGTTTCAGTAGATTTCTAAAGAATTGTTATGCATTTATGCTTTCTCTGAAAAAATAATTCTGGCAGCGCCGATTATGCTCACGCGTGTAATTACTCGTTCTACGTGATTATTTGCAAAGCATGTATCAGCGTCACGCGCCATCGCGTGCAATGTGATTAAGATTCTCACAACGTTCTTGTTAGTTTGAGATTCAGCCTTGATAAATAAATTTATGTTAATTTAGCTAATTCAGTATTATTTTTAAAAGAATTTCACAGAACACAGAAACAGGAATGAAATCATCAGCATTTTTATCGTGAATCGTTGTTTTGAGTTTCATACTAAGTATACGGCGCAAAACGGGTTTCTTTGTATCTTGTAGTCCTATTTTTCTTTTAACTTTTTTTATAAATATTGTATCACCGTCTGAAAACGGAGAAAGTTAGTTGTGTACCGCATTATCGACAATCACTATTCTCAACGAGGAGCGTGCATTCCGTCCGCCTGGAACACGTCGTTGCACATATTGAGAAAAAAGAATGGCCGATCGTGCGTAACACAATCGTTAATTTCCGGTCGCGTGCCCCTATGAACGTCGACGGGAAATTAATTTTTCCTTGCGTGCAGATCGCGACTAAAAGTCCGTTTCTTCGCTTGCCAACTGTGTTTTTTTTTACTACATTTTTTTGCATGATAAAAGTGTACAGTTATAGACACCTCAAGCGTTTCCTTTTTTGTCTGGTATACTATTCATCGAACTTTTAATATTTTTCGCGGAAGAAATGAAAGTTGCTAATTCTATATGTTTTTCTGATCCACTGATTTTACGTAATCTAAAAAAAAGAATATTAGAAAGATTTTATTTCTGCCGATCTTAAAACAGTATTATAAAGACGCTGACGAATTTTATTCTTGTTAATGTTCTTAAAAAATGTTAGGATATAATTAATAAAATATTATAAAAGAACGATAATCGATAGGAATGAAA